TTGAATCATTGGGGTTAAATGCTCTTTGTTTTAAAGATTATAAAAAGTTAAATGTAAAATGTTTGTTGACATTAAAAAGACAAGTTATCAACACCCACAGATACATTCAGCTGAGAGTCAGGAAGATTTTTAAATGATTGAGAATATGTAGGAATATTAGCTGGAATAAAAAATTATACATAAATTATCTGAAAGGGAAAATAAATGTTCTGCTTCATGTGATTCCAGCAGGAACAGTCTGATGGATCTGAAACGTGTTGAGAGACACTGAAGATAAAAGTTCCAGGATGAACAGACACTGTGAGAAAAACTCTTTCGCCTCAGAAACGTCTGTGAGTCGCAGGTTCAGTCGCAGCAGCAACAACCGATGAAAGTCTCCGTGTGTGCTGCGTCACCTTCAATATGAGTTCTGAGAGCTCAAAAACAAAAAGACGTCTCCGACCCTCGTCACGGTCGAGTGTCAACACGCCATGACGCCACCTGTTGGTTTGAGAGCTGCAGTTTTGAAGTTTGACATTTTGACATCTTGATTTTTCTCAAACCAGAAGTAACCATATTTGGAGGGGGGGGTGCATACCTGCACTCATTGGACGGTACTAGCCGTCAATCAAGCTGCGCCCCAACGTGTTCAGAGCTTCATGGTCTCTTTGACTCTAGATGGACGATGATGATGAAATAAACACCAACTGTATTGAAGAAGATTTGAAACTAGAGCTTGAGACATGAATCTCTATAGAAATGTCTTTCTGAAACTAGTGGACTCGCCCTCTGCTGGTCACTCCAGAGAATACAGGTTTCAGGCACTTCTTCATTGACCTCACTGTCCAGACGCCGAGTCTACGTCCAGCAGTCTACGGTCAGAGCATGGTGGTCTCGGTCTGCAAGATGGACGGAGCGCGGGAGTTCCTGGGGAACTGGGCGGAGCTCTCTTTGCCGTTTCGGCCGACCGCTGCGGCGTGCGGCCTGTAGTCCCGCCCCACGCAGTGCTTGAGGGATAACCCCCTCCACGTCCTCCTCAGCTCGCCCTGGACCTGATCGCACGCAGAGCAAAGTTGAGATAAAAAGTCAGTGAGACAGAGAATCATGGGAATAATGTGTCGACGTGTGGAGACTCACCTCGCTGTTGAGGAAACAGTACAAGACGGCCACGATTAGACCCTGAAACACACGAGTGCACAACGATTTCAGATTTAAAACCAGCATCGTGACACGTTCAGCACGTTGACGCCTACATTCATTTTACTTCCCTTTGTTTTATCCATTGAATAAACTTCCTGAACAGTATTCTCCTTCAGAGCAAAATGTGATAAAAACAGAAACGCGACACATGCTACCTGGAAGGATCCGAGGCCGAGGTCGAAGAAGATCTTGATGCGGTTCATGTTTTTGTTCGGAGGCTCCATCAGGTAGACGAACACCATGTAGTTCACCCCGAACAGAGGGATCAGCAGCAGGGTGGACTTCGCCAGGCGTCTGGTGAAACAGATTACACACAGGTTATCTATCTACGTTTTATTTTGTTGGCACCAGAAGCGACAGTCATATTTTCCAGGATTGAGATTTAGTATAAAAACACAATCAGCTGTTTCTGATGATCCTTCACTGCAGAGTCCTCACAGATGCATGATAAAGAAATAAAAAGGTCAGAGGTCAGAGGTCAGACTGTACCTGTACTGCGACTGCTCGTTTCCTCCGACGTCCGTGCAGCGCAGCTTCTGCACCAGGATACGAATGATGCTGATGAACAACATGAAGTTGATCTTGAGGTGAAGAAACACGAAGCAGGAAGATTAGAATCAGAAACTAAATACAGCTCTGGAAAAACGTAACAGCAAGATTATCAGTCCGTCTGGTTCTACGATTTATAAGTATGTTAGGATAAAGTTTACATTTTTTATCTATTCTTTAAAACGACGACAACATTTCTTCCAAATTGAAAATGCAACAGACAGTGGAACCTGATTTAAACATCTTATGGAGAATTATTGAGCCCAAACTGGCTCCTCTTCAGATACAGAATTATCAAACTGACTTAAACCCAAAACATAACATCATATCAAGCTTATTATTAAAAGTGCATTAACCTGCGTCCTGCTGGAAACATGGAGACAGGCAGGATACGTTAGAAAAGTAAAGGTCAGGACGATCGATCATCTGCTCACCAGAGTGTGTTTTTAAAATAAACCACGACTCTTATCTGGATCTTATCTCTGTTTCCACTTGTTTCCCCACATTTTGACTGAGCCGCTCACACAGTTTATGAGAAGCTGGACTGGAGGGTGGTGCTGTCACTGAGGTAATGAGAAATGTTTTCCAGATGTTCACACAGCTGGTAATTAAAGTGAGAGGCACAGCAGGTGGAGACGACAACATGTCATACCACAAAATAATTCAAACTTTGAAACTACACGTCTACCCGCTAATCCCAGAACTCTCCGTCTGTTTGTGACGCATGCACCTCGAGAACCGTTTCTATTTTCAGCTTCACACTTGTCAGGTGTGTTGTTGAGGGTCTGAGGAAGTGCAGCGTCCAATCACGGACACGTGATACGTTCAATATTAATGAAGCTTTAAACAAACAGGTGACCAGCGCTCTGTGGCAGCGGCGGCTGGAACTCCTCATCAAACTCACAATGACAGACGCCATGATGGGCCAGTTCATGAGTCTGTTGGGGATCGGGTTTTCATTCGTCTCCCAGCACCTGGAAACAAACCAGAGATTATTTTCTGCTGTAAGTGAAACGTCAAACTAAGAAAAGTTGTGTTCGTGTTGTTTTAAAGTTCCATCAAGTCGGGACTTGACGACTGACCCCGTGTCCTCCAGATTGATCCGACATATGATCCACGCCACCATGAAGACGAACGGGATTCCTGAGAGAGGGAGAGAGGGAAGAGAGGGAGAGAGAGAAAGTGTGTTTAGATTCTCAGAGTGCCAGACACAGAACATCCCCATGAGGTGCCCCACACACACACACACACACACACACACGCTGGTGTTCATTAAACAGCTGGAGCTTAACGTTTCAGGCAGGAAGTGTTGGCACGCAGGGGGACAATGGTGGACGGAGCGAACGCAGTGTTTAATGTCTGACTGTGTCTTTTAATTATCTGTGTCTCGGCCTTGTTCCACTGGATATCTCTCATGTGTTTATCTCTTGGCTAACTCTCCACTGAATGACCTGCGTGTGAGTCAGAACAAACAAGGAAACGAGACTCGGGTGTGAAAGGTATGAGAGGATGAAGGTGTGGTGCAGCCGACCCCAGCCGATGAGCATGTAGACGGACAGCGGGGTGGAGTAGGTGTGGATGACGAGCAGCAGCGTGTGCAGGTAGAGACCCTCCACCAGCAGCCAGAAGAAGTTCGCCATGACGAAGTAGTTGAAGAAGACCAGACTGGATTTACAGCCCACCTACAACAACACAACAACAACACAACAACAACACAACATCAACACAACATCAACACAACATCAACACAACAACACAGTTCACTTCATTCATGCTGCAACAGATCTACAATAAAACTTCACGATGATGGAAGTGTTCAACTCCGTTAAATTATCTAAAAAGTGAATCTACAGTTGACAATAAAACACCACGGGTTAATTTTTAATGCATCTTTTGTGTGTGTTTGCTTCCTGCCACTGTCCACCAGGGGGCTCTGGAGTTCAGTGTTTAAGCCATCACACTATAAACGTGTAACATGATGGATTTGGATCAATGACTGTCAAAGATGGACGATATGACAGCTCTGTAAAGTGAAACATCTGGATCGACCCCCCCCCCCCGCCGGTGGCTGGCTGCAGCACAGACGATAAACCCCGCCTCCTCCATGTTAGTGGACTTGACGTGGACACAAATAAAAAGTTAATCAGATGAAAACTTTCTCTCAAAGATGGTTTCTGTTGTTCCAGGTCATTCTTATCACGTTGAATCAAACGACAGAAAATAACAGGCGCACGTCAGGTCCTCGTAAGTATAATAATGTGTGTGTGTGTGTGTGTGTGTGTGTGTGTGTGTGTGTGTGTGTGTGTGTGTGTGTGTTTACCAGTGACGGCTGCGTGCTGCAGTCGGTGTTTTCATCATCTGAGAAGAGCAGAGTGTCTTTGGCCAGCACGGCCACGGCCCGCAGCATGAACGACACAAACAAGTTCAGATGGATGTAGTTCCTCATGCAGTGGAGCCTCCTGCACACACACACACACACACACACGCGCACACACACACACACACACACACACACACACACACACACACACGTTGAGTAGTGTGTTTATAGACGTGTCAGGGTGTGAAGCCAGTGAGGGATGAGGTTTCTAAACATGCCGACAGCAGCCGAGTGAACAGCTGGAGTTGATCTAGACTGAGCTGCAGATGTTCATCATATCTGCAACAAACTGTTATCACCCTCGTGTGTGTGTGTGTGTGTGTGTGT